CGTGGAGAGGTCTCAGAAACCCCTTTCAGCCGTTATTGCCATATCTATGGCCTGGCCAAATTCAGGACCCCTGGCAGAAGCCAGGGTGGGTCTTCAGAGAAAAAAAAATTGGATCCCACAAGGGGACGACTTTTCATGATATATTATTCCAGAAACTGAATTATTTGTGTTACTCTATTTCCAGTTTTATTTTGGACATATTGGGGTTTGCTCTTATTATCCTCTTGCCATTTTTCTTATCTCCTTATAAGAAGAAACCGTAGAGGTGACAGTGTCAGACTTGTCTGGCAGACATCTGTGGAGAAACATAATGAGCAATGCCAGACTACATGAGCTGTAAGAAGTAAATAATCTTGTAGTTACCTTTTATCCTTGGACAGTGTCATACCGTTAGGGGAGAAAAGTCCGGAATCCACTACTGAAAAGTCTGAGCCGTTAAAGTAAAGCAGTGAACCCAGTCCAAAGGGCAGAAATGCCTGCTCAATTAGACTCAGTGTGTGATCTTTAAAATACAAATAGTCTGAAATGTAGAACTGGTCTTCCCCGATGATGGCCAAGTCATTGGTTATATGCATCAATGGGCCGCGGAAAGACTTCAGGTGAAGAAGTTTGTATGATTCTGGTAAAAACTTGAATTTTTCTACAGCTTCATCGCCAATTTCTGCGTGATTGATAACGTAAATTATATGTTCACCTTTGACACTATCCTCAAGAATACTGATACCATGTGGATGGAAATAATCTGGGTTGAAATCCTTGCTGGGCACTAACTGTAGTTCCCTAGCTTCTGGATGAACTTCATTGAAATCATATAAAAAGATTCTCCCCTTGATACCATTTCTCTGAAGGAATTCCTTGTAACCCGTTGACATAGCAGCGTAGGATACACCTGAAGTAATGAAAGCCAGCCCATCTTTCGTGACTTCAAGGTCCTCGGATCCATAATTTAGTCCCTTGATTTGTCTTATGTTTAGAAGAGGAAAAAAGATAAGGCACATTGTAATTAAATATTGATGAGATAATAAACAATAAGTCAAATGCCTTTTTTCACATTGAAATTTGACAGCAACAGAATTCCAGTATGGTCTGCATTTCACCCGAGATGTAAATTCTCCCAGACTGCTCGTTGTACATATCTTGATATTACTTTCTACTTCCCTTCCCCTAATTTGTATCACTGTCGACCTCTTGCTCGCTTGCCTTCAATGCTTCACCCCAGTTGTTAAAAGAGTGATATATGCGTGGTATGTATCATAGTAAACATTATATGATTAATATACCATCCAGAGTTATTTAATCACATGTAAAAATATAAATAAATAAGAAAGCCACAGCAGAGCGGTAGCTAGACTCTTGCCTCCGCATCGAGGTGGGTTTCTTATGAAATAACCTTGGTTCCTGGGTCGACCCAGCCTACATTGGGTTCCAGGTTATGCCCTGTGAGGCACATTGCTGTTGACTTGATTTGAACACATCGATCATCAAGTGCAGGTTTATGTATAAAAATACGAGTTTAACACAACATGTCTAATAAGCTACTTCTACGAAAAGGGTCTTTTACTTAGTTTTACTTTACAAATAAATCAATACATAAATAAGTTACACTGAAAACCTGTGATTTCCTTCAGTCCACTAACAGTTTTCACTCCCTCACTACCAGGTTCTGGTGTTTGGTCCTTTTATCGTGCTCATAAATCCATCATATATTAATTTTGTTATAGCTTTCTGGGTCGCTCTCCCCTCCCTAAAGTGTCTCATTGGCTTTGATAATGTAATCGACTATCTTCCTCTCTCTACTTCTCTTTCCGTCTTCTTCTCTCTAAGTGTGATTCACTTACTCTTTCTGAGAGAAATATAATTGATTTTCTCTCACCCGCTGCCATAGAGAAATTCAACTGATTCCACCCCATACCCTATCTCGAGCTTTGAGAAAGGCGATTCTCTTTCTATTTGACTCTTCCATGGTTGGTTGGTTTTGTGGATATTGTTTTACCTGTGAAAAGATGACGAGGTAGCCAACCTTAAGCCCAAGCGATAGCTTAAAATAGAACGACACTTGACATGGTTGAGGGCCCTTCTCCATTGACGGTTAGAGAGGCAGAAGAAAAAGACGAATTCTCTCTCTCTCTCTCTCTCTCTCTCGCTCTCTCTCTCTCTCTCTCTCTCTCTCTCTCTCTCTCTCTCTCTCTCTCTCTCTCTCTCTCTCTGGCTTTGAGAAATGTAAATAACTGTCCTCACCTGCATGGCCCTGGGTAATGTTTTTTATAATGTGTAAAAACTCCAGCTTTGATGACCACATTCATCAGCTTATAAATGATAACAGCCACAGCTGCTACCAGTAGAGCTTTGCGAAGCATCACGAGACCAGACAATGGCTAGGATATCAAGGAGACCTTCCTGAAGTAAAACAGTTCACATCTTTTGTTATGTGTGTAGTGGACAGTTTATAACATCCTCTTCCCTCTTCTCAACATCATCATCAACAACAAGCACAGGCGCAGATGGATCATTACGGTATAAGGAGAATGGCGCTGCGAGGAGTTACCTGGGAATCTGGTAGACGCATAACACTCAGGAGAGGGATGAGACGGATATACAATCAGATGGTTACTGGTACCATCGGAATTGGAACTCTTCGCTTGCTGCTGAAGATGGGGACTGAGCATTTATGGGAGTTTCCCGAGAGCTGTAATGTCGATTCTTAATTCAACGTTCACTCATCAACATCATCGTTTCAATGTTATGTCGATATTATATTCCATTTAGGGTTGGCATCAGGGCTTTTTTTTAAATAGAAAGAACAAATGAAAACGGTGTCAGCTCTCACTATGACGTGGCTGAAAGAGGTCCTGGTACTCATAACAAGGGAGTCGTCGTGATGCAGCGGTTAAACGCTCGACTGCGGATCCTAAAGCCGTGGGTTCGGGTCCTGATGGAGCCGGACTTTTTTTTCCAAAATGACCTTGGCTCCCAGGTCGATTCAGTCTTGAGTTGGTACCAGGTGCAGTTCTGGGAAGTAAAGGTGGCCGGCGTGATCCTGACCATATCAACCACCAAGCGTCAATTGCGCTATAAAATATAGGTCTAGCCTTACATGACCAAAACGCCTACAATTGTGGAAAATGGTCCTTTACTTTCTGTTACTTATTTATAACAAAGTGATTAATCAAGCTTATATCCCCATGAGGTGAAATCAACTTAGTAAGGATTAGGTATAATGAATATACCCTTCATTCCTTTTTTAATTGTCTCACTATGCTGGAAACCGGAACTGGCCCAGATTTCACATGAGGACATAATTCTCACCTAATTAATATAATTATTAAAAATACCAATGCACGTTTAAAAATAATACCTTAGAAAAATATGCCGGTACCGCATACCGTTACCAAAGGCCAGAAAAAAAAAAAAAACAAGCACTGGTCTGTAGTCTTCCTGTATTTCGTCATGTGCTGCCAAATGCTCTGTATATTATGGATGGAGTCTAGCCAAGCTCCTAAGGCTTCTCCCATCATTGTCAGTCTTAGTGTTTGTCTTGGAAATTGAGGTTTACTCGATCAAGCTGTTTCCCAGTTTCTAATGTATTTAACTATGTTCCCTGTTTTTAGTGGTTATCTTACTTTCACAAGCCTATGCCTAGCATTGGCAAATCGTGACAATTCGCAAGTTTAAGTGTTAGCAGGTAACAGTTACAATGAAGAGGGTCTCATGTTAAATGTTTCTCCTAGCTTCGCTGTTGAGAGTATGCGTGCGCAGCCAGCCTCATAGTACTAGTGAATGGTACTTTTCACACGGTTACAGTTTCTGCATAAGTGTCGTAATCATGCAGCAAACACTCTTTTGGCTATGTTCGAGGTGTAAACAGAGTGGCTATTTGTAATAAATAGTAAACAAGAATAATAAATAGTAAAATAATGCATTTTTCTTTGTCAGTAGAAAGTGTAAGCGGCAATTAAAGCGTCGCATGTCCGTCTGGCCAATGATGCCTAGTACTTGTTTAAAAATTTATAATATCATCATCATCATGTGCCCTGTCAACTGGCGTAGGCGCTCTTGCGTCTCCACAGATCACGATCCCTGGTTGTCTGGAACAGCTCTCTTGATGATATCCCTCCATGCCATCGTTTCAGCCCATCCAGCATCATCTCTCTTGGTCTGCTTCTACCCCTTTTTCCACTGATCTTTCCAGTTGTCACGATGTTCTCCAATGTCTCTGTTCTCATTATGTGGCCAAAGAACAGGGTTTGTCTCTTTCTTATTGTTGTATATAGATAAGAATAAGAAGAACTCCACAGGGAAGTATGCATAGCAGGGGTCCACCGATCATCAGTAGAAGTTCCCTCGTAGATAATTGTTTCAGCCCATCAACTTCTTGACAATTTCAGAGGGTGGGCCGACCGGGGTCATAATCTCCAGTCCTCGATCTTCTCCTGCTGCATTTTACCAGATATTCTCGGATATTACATACATGCATCAAATTAAAAGAAAAGCATACATAAATATTAAAACACACACAGGCACCAACAAATCATTTTTAAACACACATACGCACATACACATATGATACCTTGCCTTTTAAAGGGAAACTGTATGGTAACAATTAACCTTAGGAAATCAAATCAGCGAATGCTCGCGCTTCAACACAGAGCACAGACGTGTGTCCCCGCCTTCGGCAAGTTTCTATTCTATAATTTTTAAGAAAAACTAACATCCCCCGAGTGTGTTTAAAATGACATCCGGAGCTACGTGAACCGAAATCCCATGTGTTTCTCACATCAGTCAATGCCGTGCTGTGTTCTTAACTTAGTATACATACAGTTTGAAGGCAGCTGCTTTCTTTTACAACCCGCCAACGCCAAGAACCAGCAAGTTAGCTTGTTCACAAGTAGGTCGGGCAACCAGTGTCCAAAGGCTTGTGACTAGCGATTAATCTTTAGCCTACACATCAAACACTTACACTTGTCAGGGGCGCCAAAAGCTGGAAGTTAATACCCCTGAACTCCCAGAAATCTTTTTAGTAAATTTGCAAGAGTCTATCCCCCCCCCCCTCCCTCCCCACTCCTTTTTTCCGCCTAAGAAAATCATGTAGGAATTTAAAAATGTTCTCATTAACATTGCGTTTAAGAATTTCAAATTATCTTATCTATACTAGTTTGTTATTCAGCACATTATTATTATTAATATTATGGTCTTAAACAAAGCATATTTTTTCTTTTGCGTCAACGCCCTTGACATTTGTTATGAATTAATCAAATAACAGAAAGTATTGTGAACGGCACTCATAGAAAGAAGAAGAAAGATAATTTGTTACAGGTTTTCTTTTAGTCTCTCTCTCTCTCTCTCTCTCTCTCTCTCTCTCTCTCTCTCTCTCTCTCTCTCTCTCTCTCTCTCTCTCTCTCTCTCTCTCTCTCTCTCTCTCTCTCTCTCTCTCTCTCTAGCTCTCTCTGTCTCCTTGTCTCTCTCTATCTATCTCTCTTTCTTTCTCTCTCTCTCTCTCTCTCTAGCCCAGTGGCTAGTTCTTTCCTGGGAGTCAGTGTGGTGTAGCGGTTAGATGCTTGCCTGCAGATGGAAAGGACGTCGATTCGGGTCCTGACGATGCCGGACTTTCTTCCAAAAATTAACTTGGCGCCTTAGTCGACCCAGCCCTGAGTCGGTACCGAGTATAGTCCTGGGAAGTAAAAGCAGCCGAAAGATCTTTGCGTGTGCATACGTGTGTGTATAGACACAAATGGGCACATGTATGTCTATATATGTGTGTGTTTGTTTGTGTGTGTGTGTGTGCGCGCGCGCGTGTGTGTGTATCAGACCGGCTCTAGGACTAATAATAACCCTGAACCATTTGTATTCATTTTTGTGCATCTTCTTCTTCTTCGCATTCACTGGCTGTAAACTCTGGCAGAAACTTCTAGTTGTTCCTCTTCTTCTGGACTTTAGTCTTGTTCCAGACACTGGTTGTTGCATGCACATATGTTATACAGATCTGACGTATTTGTATGCAGACCTATGGTTTCTTGCCAATTAGACAAACGCATTCCGGAATTCGAAACAAGTCACAATGAGTTGACTCCTACGACATGCTTGTTGGGGAGGCAGTAAGTCTGTTCTTGTTTTGTCCACATCGGGCCCTGGAACCAACATTGGGGATTTGTGTGTATGATATGTGTATGTTGTACAGCATTTTTAGCTGTTTTAATGTGCTGCACTGTCTTGAGAAATATTAACATCCCACTTGCTAATTTCTGTTCTTGCGTCATACTTTTTAATCCTTCCCTGTAGCTCTCTAGAGCCATCTATTGCCAGCATGTTTTCAGCCGCTATAAGCTTACTGCAGTGTATCATATGAGTTGTGAGTTAGATTATCTTCACAGCACTCAGGACGCACCCATAGGCGCTCAGATTCCCCTCTCAATATATTAATTAGTGTCTCGCGGTTAATAGTGCCAGTCCTATGTTGGTTAAACAAGAGTTTGTGTGCGTCTAGTGTGCTTCTTATGCTTGGCGTGTATCATATATTCCTTGGGGTGGGTGGGGGGTGGTCTTTGACGTTTTCTTGCTGTATAGGACAAAATGTTCAATATTATCTATCTGACAAACAGAACATATTTCTTCTGCTGTAATGAAATCAGTTACTTCAAGCTGCAGTCTTAGTGTTTTTTAGTGCAAGAACATTTTAGTAAACTTGTTATTTGACATTTTCTTGTTGGAGCTTTAAACTAACTAAAGGCAGGTCCCCTTTTTTAGTTCCCCCTTCCACATCGCTAAAAAATTCAATTATTCTTCCTTCATTTGCTTTTTGTAATTACAGATTTAAAATCATCGCTACTTATAATAGCTTTACGTTTTTATTTTTATTATTTTATATTTTAATAGGACATCTATTTATCTCCAGAATTATATATCATTAAAAAAAAATGTGTTGCAAATTGTTGTTTTAATTTGTGCATTGTTTGTTTGAGTATCCAGAAGCCATGAGTTGTTAACCCTTAGGCTCGATATTATGGATATCGCAACCTTTCGGCCTTGATTCCATTGTAAATACCGTAAATCTGGGAGAAATGTGGCTTTCCTGCCTACCCCCCGGCATTGAACCCGGACCACAAAGAGTTCGTCACCCGGTCTCCGTGCAATCCGGTTTAGCCAACTACGCTAGAGAGCCGGGCTTTAATTGGTGCATAAATCTACTTACTAGATGAAAAAAGTGAGCCCATCCCAGCCTCTAGAACTTTCACAAAAATGGATAACAGTCCAAGCCACTTATTTTTCTTGCAGTTAACACTTCTAAGCCAACATATATAGTTGGGAAAAAAAAAAGAGATGCACAATTATCAGATGGCGGGTTTTTATTAGTTTGTAAATAAAATTACGTCCTCGGGTATGTAAAACGACTCAAATTTTGTGTCGAGTGAATATTTCGGCGTACATTTGGATTTCGTTCCAACGCAGTGGTTAGTTTTTTAAAGACCATATCTGTGAGCATAGCTCATGGTGCACGCACGAGAAAGCAACACAATTTGGAGTGAACACTACTGACTACCTACGCAAGTGAAATCCTATAAAAGGATAACGCTACACCAAAATATTCAGTTCATTTTCAAGCAGTCACGAATAGCACCCGTATAAATACTACTAGCTGACTTCTAGCAGGAGAAAATCAAATCAGGTAGCCAGGCATCTAGACGTGTATCAGAGTACCATCAGTTGACTTTGGCACCGGTTCCAAGCCACTGGTTTAGTTGAAGAAGAACGACATCGCAGTGAATGACCCAGAGAGACAACAGCAGCAGAAAATCGCTTTTTTCGGCTTCGTCACCTCAAAGACAGGTTTACAACAGCTTCCTCAACTGAGCAGGCATCGCCCCCAGGACGTCATAGTTCTTATTAAACTGATCGGAACAGACTGCATGACGTTGGGCGTAGGGGACTACGACCACACTGAAGAACTGTCCTTACTCGTCGCCACGGCCAAAATCAACTTCTTTGCGCCAAGCAACATCGTCCCTGGCAGGTGATAATGAATAGAGACGTGTCTGGGTTTTAAAAAAAATGTGTTGATGAAGCTGCGCTGCACGGTGGTGTAGGTGTAATGTGTGGGCAAGGATCAGTTACAACGGAAGGAATCAACTGTCCTTACGCGTCGCCACGGCCAAAATCAACTTCTTTGCGCCATCCAACATCCCTGGGCAGGTGATAATCAATAGAGACATGTCAGGTTTAAAAAAAAATGTGTGTTGATGAAGCTGTGCTGCACGGTGGTGGAGGTGAAATGTGTGGGGAATGATCAGTTACAACGGAAGGAAACAACTGGTGCACGTTAAAGGGAGCTTGAATGCGCAACGATACATCAATAAAACTCAAAGACCACTTGTCCTTCCATTTTGGGATTCCAGCAGATATCCTTTTCAACAGGACAATGCCAGACCCCGTTCTGCACGGTTGACCACACAGTTCCTTGCTGCCAGTAACATTCAAACCTTTCCTTGCCTATCCCTGTCAGCAGACATTAGTCGGATTGAGCATCTATGGGATTAGCTGCAAAGACGTGTTTGAACGTAACTAACTCAGGGTGATGAATATTCTGTGCAAGTTATCTATATAGACTTGTGTGAAAAGAAGAGTTTTAGGAGCTATAGTGAACCAGTCGTGATGTGCGAAAGTAAATCATGGACAAACAGTAAATCTGTGTACCGTAGTGGCCGAAGCTGCAGAGTTGTTACTTTATTGACAACTCCAAACACTGGGCATGTCAAGAGATGGAGATAACCTGAGTGCCCTGTGATAACAGCTTCAGGATCGTTTTCAACGTTAATTCAGTATTTCGAGTGTACCTTTCTTTTCACTGACAGAGATATGAAGTGACCCGTTTACAGGGAAGTTGAACCCTGGACTACATTAATATCAGTATTTGAAATTGCTTGGTGTGTGCCGTTAGTAGTGGTATCTATACATAGGGGCCTGTATAATATACTCGCTATACTTTGTGATGTACAGAATATGAAAGGACAAAACTGCATTTTATAAAAACGAAAAACATTTCATATGATAAATCCATTTTATTGGAGGTTAGGAAAAGAATTCTTTGCTTTATACATAAAGCCAGATTTAACAAATGGCTATGAATCCTGGGCAATTAATAAAGCCAAACAATTTTCTGAGGCCACGGTGATGTGGTTTTACAGAAGAATCCTTTGAATTCATTGGACATTCAAAAAGAAGCAACCCAGATGTTTTCAGAGAGGTGAAGACGCGATAAAAACTTACCACAAATATTAGAGGCAGTCATCACGTTTTGGTCATGTTACGAGAAAAGGGAAACTGGAACATGTTGTGACCTCTAAAAATATCCGTGGAAAAGAGACGAAGAAAGACAACGAAAGAAGATTCTTGACAGCTTTTTTTCATAACATAGAGAGGTATCAACACACGAACTGATATATGCTGTGGAAGATCGGTAACACACGAACTGATGCATGCTGTGGAAGATCGGTAACACACGAACTGATGCATTCTGTGAAAGATCGGTATCACACGAACTGATACATTCTGTGGAAGATCGCTAACACACGAACTGATGCATGCTGTAGAAGATCGGTAACACACGAACTGATACATGCTGTAGAAGATCGGTATCACACGAACAGATACATGCTGTGGAAGATCGGTAACACACGAACTGATACATGCTGTGGAAGATCGGTAACACACGAACTGATACATGCTGTAGAAGATCGGTATCACACGAACTGATACATGCTGTGGAAGATCGGTAACACACGAACTGATGCATTCTGTTAAAGATCGGTAACACACGAACTGATGCATTCTGTGGAAGATCGGTATCACACGAACTGAGAGATGCTGTGGAAGATCTGTGAAGATGTGGTACCTGCAAGGAAACGTGAGCCGAATCGATTGAAAGACAGAAACAGCATGGTTGATGTCCTTAATATAAGACAGGAGACCAACGACCAGGGGCTGCAATAGACGGTCGAGGAGCTCAGATATAAGTTCAATGGGACAGGCGCAGGCGGTGACGATCAGTCAACCTGGGTTGTCAGGTTTGGGTATCTTGTGAAGCGATAGAAGTCGGGCTTTCCAAGACAACTTTCCTCGACACATAGAGAGTTAGACAGGACAGGTAGAATATCTTCCTTGCTAAAGGCTAGGATGGTGCTTTTAACTGTTGTGTTGCTTTTTACTGTGCCATCCTGCCTCTGGCAGCTCGTAGAACAATGTGTCACTGTGTTGTTTGTTCCATTTTCGCACATTTGAATCTCTTCTCCAAACCACTACCGCTCCTTCCTTAAAAGCAGGTTTAATGACAATATCATCTGGACGTTTTAATCATGTGAGTGCCTGAATCTCTTGAGGCGAGAGGTTAGCGTGCCTGAGAGGTTTAGATTTCAATTTATTAATATCGAAAAGAGTTTTCTCAGTGTATAGATCCAAAGTTCTAGATGCCCCAAAGTTAGGAGTCCAGGAAGATCTAGGTTTTGGAAACCAGACTGTAGAAACAGTGGCACAGGCACATTGGCCCTCATAGTTTAAGTGGTGGGATCATATAACGACACATGTGACAGCTGTTATATGTTTTGAAACCTTGATTCAATGCCGGCAAAAGGGGATTTGAAAGTACAGAAAGAAATGGAAGTCAGAACGGATTAAGTCTACATTCGAGATTACCAAGAGAGTAATGGGCCCAGTCATTAGTAGTATAGTGCCGATCAATAATGTCAGCAGTCCCGTGATTTTTCCAGTATAATGCCAGTCTTCGAAACTGCCAATAACTGCCTTAATGCGGTGTAGGCGGGGCGGAGGAGGGGGTGTCTTAGAGCCAGAGGATTTACGGGCTACGACTGTGCAGGTGAGGATTTTATTTTGCCCCTGACAGAAAAAAAAAAAAAAAATACCAAGTCCTACCGAGGATTAGAACTCGGGTCTCCCGCTTGAGGGCGCAGCGTTCCAACCGTTCGGCCAGCCGTTCCTCAGTCTTCAAAAGGCCGTCCTTAAAAGTTACGCGCTGTCAGATCAAAAAGTTCAAATTGTATTTTGATTTTGCCGCTTACGAGGCCTCATTACAGTTGCAACTTTGTATCATAACACGGCATGGCCCTGCATGTTAGCTTGTTTATAATACTGTGTTTACGGCCTCAAATGTTCCCCGTTTGTATGTGTTTTGCTTTTCTTTATCGTTGTTTTCTGATGAAGGCTAGTCGTCACTTAATCTTTTCTGTCTTTATTTTGACTGGTTTTGTACTCCTTCGAAGTCAGAGGGTATCTGCGAGGAAACAACAATCTGCATAACAATAAGCCAGCTCTGTAAAACAGATGTACAGGCAAAGTTAAAGTGCTAGAACAAGATCAAAGCCCAGAAGCGGACGAACAACCAGAACTTTCATCTGTAGTTTACAGCCGGTGAACGGGAAGAAAAAAATAACGACTCATTTTGAAACGCTGACACATAATACTTTATGTTTTCGTTTTGTTTATCTACAAATATTATAGCTCTACTGCAGTCAATCATTTCTGTAGTAACCGTTGGGAAGTCTATTCAATCTAAACAGCTTCAGAAAGGTTTCTCTGTATTTGGTGCTCATTCTGAAATACACAAACGTGTTGACACTGGAGTTGATAACTTCTAAGGTAAATGACACAGATAGAGTCACAAACACTAACCTCCTGTTCAACTTGTCATAATTAAATGTCGGTTCAACGATTTCGGTTAAAAAAATACCGGCGGCAGGAAAGAAGGAAGCAATGAAAATGAGGGACATAATCACCACCATTTTGGCTATTTTCATTTCCTTGTTGTTGATGACGACTTTTGCATTGGGCTGTTGTGTGTCGCGAATCACACCTGGGGAGACAGACTTCCTCCATGCTGCTGTCTTGTTGAGCTGGACTACGAGGATGGTTGTGAGAACGACAACGGATACAACACAAGAAACCGGAATCAACACACCACTGACAGCATGCGTCAGGGCATCAGTTACTTTTCTACCATTTTCATCTAGTCTTTGAATTAGTGAAATACGCGATTTATTTTCTGCAGGGAAGAAAGTCCACTCAAGCCCTATAGAAACGTATGCAGGAATCGCAGATGCAATAGTTACAGCATATATGACTATCATTGCATTGAAATGTCTCTTTCTTGTGAACATCGTTTTGACTTTTAATGGTTTAATAACACAGACGCATCTCTCCAGACTGATAAACGCTGTTATCCATCCCGTAATTCTTGTGAATATAATATGAGGCAAAGTACCTGATAAAACATGCACGTCTGAAGAGAATAAATCAGTATCTCTAGCAACAGGGATAAAAAAAAGAGAGGTCCACATTATACAGATGAGAGAGCACAGATCTGAGATTGTGAGGCCCAAGAGACTTACATTTATATTATCTGAGAAACCTTGTTTCACAAAAACAATACAGTTAATAATATTCCCGAAGATCCCAAGTACGGTAATAGCTTGGCAAATAATGCCTTGAATAATAAACATAATAAAGAAATATAATTCATCACTGATTACTGGCTGCGGTATGGTAAAATATGTTATTCCAGAAGAATTCTGCAGCTCTAACGAGATTTTGATGGATGTCGTATCTTGCAATAAGCTACATGTATTCGATGTAGAATATGCAGTATGTTTCATACTCATACTGCACACATTGGGAATAAAATGTAAAGTAAAGGACTCTTTTCACGCCCTTATGCGTATTGGGCATATAGGGCTAGACCTATATTTTACTGACCAATCGGCACTTGGTGAGTGATGTATACCTGGTAATACTATTCACAAACTTGAATCGTATGCTCTTTTGTAATATCAGCTTTAGTTATGTCTATCTTGTCGGTGGCTTAGGCATTGCGAACGTGCTTTGTAATCCCGGGGGGCCGGGTTCGATCCCGGCTGCGAATGATTGGTTTTGCGTTGGTTTTAATAGTGGTACCGAAAGCTAACCGTTCAGAGAGCAATGACAAACTACTAAACGTAAAATTTGAATAGAAAAACAACAACAGCCAAACAATGCTGGGATTGGTTCTGCAACGTCCTGTGAAGGATAGGCAACTCAGACTATCTTGTAAAAAGAGTTTTACTGTTTCCCGATTTGAATTATATGTCTGTCTGTTTTGTCATTTAATTAGCTTATGCTCATGCAATGTTTCCGTGTTGCCAAATATACCCATTTTTATTACTGTTGTCGTTGTGAATGTGAACTGCGATTTCAATTGATTTAGGATAATTTTAAATGATGCTGACTTTTCCTGCATCTTCAGTTTACCCTCGTTGATTGAACATTAAACTGACACCAGCAATTTACATCTCGTCCCCCGCATTATAATAGAAAAATTACATCTGACACAAAGTGTCCCAATTATTTAGAGAATAAGAACAAAATGGACTTTTATCTGACATGTCGCGCGTACAATTGTGACTGAAACGGTTAAATACATTTATTATCCAACGGATTACAATAACTCGTAAAAACCTGTCTACGGAATCAACTTGGGAAAACATAGTTGGAAAAAAACATGCAACAAAGCGACATGTTGAATGAAGAATCGAACGTTAACCAGGCTTAACCGTTTGAAACAGTAAAAGCCGACATTTATTTGAGTAACAATAATATGTGGTCGAAGTGTTCGATTTTTAGGTAACTTTCGCGTAGTGCCGACACGTAATATAATTAGATGTTATCATTTCTTCAGTATTATATTTTGAAGATTTCAGTAATAGGTTGATATTAAAAAAAAAAAAAAAAACGACCAAGCAGGTGCATCTGTCATGCAACCAATGCACACATAAAATGTGTTTTCTTTACTATGTTTAGTTTAAATGTTATGTTCACTTAGAGTAAACCAATTGCTGTAGTCCGTTTTGATAAGTAGGTGTGTTTTGTCAGTTTTATACCTGGACCAGTTAGCAGCCTAGTTAATTATTTGGTTAGTTAGTCGGTAGTCGTTTCTTAAGTAACTATTTCAGCGTGTGTTGACTTACGACTCAGTCCTGTTATGGTTTTCTATTCTCGCTTGGCTCCCAGAGAAGTTTTCTTGCCTGGTTTCCCTATTCTTGATTCTTGTTGTCTGTTTGAGGTTAGTCACTAACAACGGACATCCTCATCATTATCCTCATCATCATGAAGAAAGTCATTTGCAGACATGGCTTTCATCAGAACATGCGGAAATGAGAAAAGCCACTCGGCAGCTTTCTAACTTTTATTAAGTGCTATTAAAATATAAATCTCAATTAAAAATACCATAATTGTACTATGCTATAGTTCCATCAATACTTAGTTTTTGTTATTCTTCTTCTTCTTTTTCGCGTTCACCAGCTGTACACTCTGGCGGAAAGTTCTGGTTGCTCGTCCACTACTGAACTGCAGTCCTGCTCCAGAACCTGAGTGTTGCGTATGCATCAATTTTACAGATCTAATTCTCTTGAATACAGACTGTTGGTTCCTTGCCTCTCCGGCAGATGCACTCCGACTTCAAAGGAAGCTCCCCAATTAGTCGACTCTTACGACATGCTTTTGATGAGGCAGTGGGTCTATTCTTGTTTTCCCCACAATGGTGCCCCGGAACCCACACGGGGGAGTTTTTGTTATTGTTTCTCCCTCTTCTTTTCCACAAATCGCATTCCGAGTTACTACTTCCTGTAATAAGTAAATGTCCCTTTGCATGCCCATGGTGCATCGGGTAAGTGAGGCTAAACTTTTTTTTTTAAAGACCAATTGATGATGTGGTCAACATCACACAGGCCGTCTTTACTTCCCATGACTTTTACCCGGTAACCATTTAAAGCTGTATCGACTTTGAAGCCTTGGTCATGTTTGAAGAAAATGCCCGCACCATTTCGACCCTGGAGCTCTGCTCTGTAAATATCATTGTTTTTAAAATCCTATTTTCCCTTCAGCCATGGTACGCTCGGCATAAATGTAGCAATTTCTGCTGTTTCACAGCTGACAAATTACTGCATTCGATCAATATAAACTGAGCAAATCAACAGGACGCCTATAGAATATACATAGCTGACATAGGCATGTGCATTAATAGCTTCTGCCATCCAAACAAAGCAAATACATTTAAAAAGGATAGTTAGAAATCCTTTCTTGCAGCTTTTGTGGCTGAATAACGTTATTTTAAAATCTAAAACACACAAAGAAGAAGAAAGAGGAGGAGGAGGAGGAGAAGAAGAAGAAGAAGAAGAAGAAGAAGAAGAAGAAGAAGAAGAAGAAGAAGAAGAAGAAGAAGAAGAAGAAGAAGAAGAAGAAGAAGAAGAAGAAGAAGAAGAAGAAGAAGAAGAAGAAGAAGAAATCTTTTAGGAATTACAGAAAGTGCAGTTGAGAAGAAGTACGCAACATACAAAGTTTAAAACCAATTACAGTATTTCATAGAGAATAATATGAAATATTTATATAGCTTACTTTTCAATTCATTTTGTTTCTATGTAAATGCATACTCTTGTTAAGTTTTTTTTCCATGTTCCAATAGTTTTTCTATACTTTTGTGGTGTCACATTTCTGTAATAAGCTATGTAGAGCATTTGTTTTTAAAATTTTCATTTCTGATCTTGAATTAGTTGTACCGTGTTCACTACAGTGCAGTACAATTTTACCCCACTAAACATCACACAAGCGATAAACACCCGATGGCACAAAGTGCCACTATGCGGATGAGGATCACCCGTGGAGAGGTCCCGGAAACAGCGTTCAGCCATTAGCGGCCACTGGTAAGAGCCAGGGTCGGGCTTCAAAATAACGAGAAATTGCATTCCGCAGGGGAATGACTAGTCAACACGACAGAATGTCATTGTGTTCACTGTTTTGCTCATCTTTATTGTTGCCGTACAAAGTCTGCATTATTTGCATTGTGAAAACGTGCATTGTAAAGCGAATACTGTACAGTCAATATTGACCTGAACCTTCTGCAATGCGCAGGAAATTCTACAGACCTAGCTAGTTAGTACATGTTTACTTTGCTTGTTCAGTACGTCCAAGATATGTGTATGATTATTAGGATAGAATCATAACAATTATCGCCGCACAAGTGTGAAGTTCTAGATCTTAAAATATTCGAAAACCTCACCATACAGGGTAAGGTGGCCAGTTCCCTTCTACGTTTTCAGTTTTTGGAAGACAGCTCCCAGAAAATATATAAAAAAGTAAAAGGTAAAGATCCCTTTTCACGCCTATCGGCGCATCGGGCATTTGGGCAGAGCGTCCCATATTTTTACAGACCATCAGCACTCAGTGGGTAATGTGGTCAGCATTACGCCGGCTGTCTTTACTTTCCCAGGACAGCCCATCCTGGTACCCATTTAAGCTGGGTCGACCTGCGACGTCCCATACAGCGACAAAAATCCACGCAGCCTGCAGTGGGTTTCGATCGCGGTATGCTGGCTTACGAGTCGGACTCTCAACGCCTTAGCCACGGACGCCGCCAGAAAATATATAGACCCCTTTATATAAAGCTGGGTCGAATCAAAAGCCTATTAGGAAGCAAAATAATCCTGTATCTGCTAAGGATTAACCGTGGACTGCTGTCTTAATAGAGGACGTGTGTTCGAGGGACATACCAAGAGGTCACTTCAGACATACCTGGCCCGTCATTCGACCTGTCCAATTTGTACGCTTACCAAGAAGTTACAGTATCTTCTCACTCCTCCTACACACACACACATACACATACAAAAGGCCTTATACAGGTGGATTCGCTCCTATATAGTCCCCAAACAGTGCAGTCATCGTTTACCTGCAAACAATGCGACACTGAACGAGTCTACACCGTATAAGTCAGCAATGCATTTCAACATATGAGCATAGATGATAATCACAGGCGTCTGCCTAACACCGCCACCAATCACTCGATGTGTCTTTCACGTTGTGAACCATCCACGTAGCGAGACTGACACTATTCTTCTGCAGCCGACGTTCCATGTGGCTACTGCTTGTGACTTCGCCAGGCGACGCAGATCCACCTTTCGTGATGGAACAGTGGTTGTCCTTTGACGTCTCTTTAAGAGACATCGTCGCCTTAACAACTCCATGCTGTCTTGTCATACAAACTCTAGGTATCACCTGGTACCTCCATCGCTAACATTATCACTGCTCAACCTGAGTTCCCCTTAGAATACGAAGACACTTGTCTCCGCTGACCCAGTGTGATATATAGAAGCACAAAATGCCAACATTGGAACATACAGGCTAGTATCGACACCACCACTCGTCTACAGAAAGTTGAATTATCACTCCAAAGTGAGGGAGCTGGTACCAGGACAGAGTAGGGTATTGCTAAAATTGGGCGAAGTATGGTGTGGCCTTGCGCCACGAATTAGCTGCCGGTAGCCATGAAGGCCATCCTGGGTCACCCCGAAACGTACTGGCCAACGGGGCCCTGTTAAAGCGACAGGCCTAGCAAGCCTGTAATGGATTTAATGCCCCTACAACAAGTGCAATGAAATATAAATGGACTGATCACACGGCATTTGATCGTGGCTGT